GCTAGGTAATAGTACTTTTTTACCTCCTCTGATCAGGTTGTCTCTAATCCCGAGAGCCATCGACCAACCATGTTTTGAGACGAAGCACTCAAGGAGATTGGGGCAAAGGATCTTCCCAGTAGAGGAGATGAGGAGCGGCCTGGAGAGTGATCGGTGAGCAAATGGTCAGCTGTAACAAGTAAAGAAACTATGTTTGTCTGGGACAGGTCAGGACTATCAGGATGACTCTGGCTCTGTTTTTTATTTTGGAGTAGAACTTTGGCTATTTGAGGAGTCAGTGGGAATGCATACAGTAGATCCGACAACCAATGAAGGTGAAAGGCATATCCCCGGGATCGGTGACCCAGACTGCCTCTGGAGCAGGGCACAACTCTTGTTTATCGAATATAGAATATGTGGTGGGTATCTAATGGCCATTATTTTTGTTACCAGAATGAACCTGGAACATATCCCCTTTCCTCTGTGCTGCACGGGAACTGTTTTGTAGCACCCAAGTGTAGGAGAAAGTCTATTTCTTGACAAAGCAAGTTCTAGTGAGGGGTCCCTGAAGAGGGATGGAAAAGAGGTGTTGGTCGATGGAAGAGTAAAAACGTGGCTGATGTACCCTGTGGAGATGACCTCCAAAACCCACTTATCTGTAGTGATAGACTCCAAGCCTGCCTGAAGTGGTAAAGGCAGGCGCCAAAGAGAGGAAGGCAGGTGAATTAGTACAGCTGGTAAGGATGAGGATGGTAATTCAGACCCTGGACCAGTCAATCAAAATTACTGTTTGGAGATGAAAGAGTGAGAGGTCAAAGCTGAGAGGTGGATGGTTTCCTTCTCTGGAATTTCTCTCTTTTCTGATGTGGTTCATACCACCTCTGGGAGGTTGGGAACTGGGCAATATGGGATCTCTCAGCTGTCGGGGACTTGCTAAACAGTCTTTTGTAGGCAGGTGTAGAAATCCCAAGAGAATGCAAAGTAGCCCTGGAATTCTTTTACATGCACAGAGAATCATCTGTGCTATCTGCAGAAAGTTTAGACCCATCAAAAGGGAGGTCTTCCACTGTATTAAGGACCTCTTTCAGAAATCTGGAGAGCTGGAGCCAGGAAGCCCTTCTCAGAACTGCCACTGTAGAAATCAAACAGGTAGCAGTATCAACAGCATCAAGAGAGCTGCTTGTGGTGATGTTCTGTCAAGCAGCTGGCCTTACCCAATAACTGCCAGGAATGGCTCTCCATGCTCCGCCAGTAGGTGGTCAACAAAAGAGTTCAGTTTGGTGTAATTTATATGATTATATTTCACCATTAATATCTTGTAGTTCACGATTCTAAATTGTCAGGAGGCTGACAAATAAGATTTTCTACCACGTAGGTCTAGACGATTATGATCTTTGTCATGGGGCATGGATTCAGCATGATGCTGCCTTCCACATTTGTTAACTACATTAACCACCAAAGAATTAGAAAAGTGATGAGAAAATAAAAACTCAGTCCTTTGCTGGAATGTAGTATTTCTTATCCACTCTTTTGTGTGTAGGCGGAATTGAAGCTCAGATGTGTTGAACGATCTTTGCAGGGTCCAGAAGGGCCTTATTGACAGTTAAGGCTATGCAGGCAGATGAAGCTTTATGAAGGATGTCAAGCAGCTTATGAGGAGGTTCTTTAACTTCCTCGAGAGGTATCTGCAGGGAGAGTCAGCAATTCTTTTGACCAGATCCTGAAACTGCTTAAAATCATCTACCAAGGATGGAGGAGGAGGCAAAACTGCTTCATCCGGCGATCTTGGCTGGAAGAGAGATCTCTTCATGGGCTCTAACTTACAGCTTCTCAGAGGTTTCTTCTTGAGGATCAGGACTCAAGGGGGGGAGGGATAGCTCAGTGGTTTGAGCGTGGGCCTGCTAAACCCAGGGTTGTGAGTTCAATCCTTGAGGGGGCCATTTGGGGATTTAGTTGGGGATTGATCCTGCTTTGAGCAGGGGGTTGGACTAGATGATCTCCTGAGGTCCCTTCCAACCCTAATAATCTAATCTATGATCTATGATCTATGACTCCTAGAGAGGGCAGGCAATGAAGGCTGCCTCTCTCCCCGATGGGTGGTGCTTGAAGTCCTAGAGAACTGCTGGCAATAGGCCACCCAAGGATCCCTGTATAGCCAAGAAGGTGGTATAGGAGGGGGCACCCATGGGTGTTCAAACGAGCGAGATGGCGGCTGCAACCTTGGGCCACGAGTGGTCATAGGCTCAGAGACTTCTGGAAAGGGGCCTCTATAAGGGTGAGGAAGAGAGCCCTGGACCAATATTTGGGAAACTGGGGCAAGCTCTTCATCAGAATCTTCTTCCTTAAACTCGCTATAGAATGATGGAGCACCCAGAGAAATGAGGTGAAACTATCGGTATTAGGTGAATTTCCGGTGATCTTGGTACTGAAAATATGCTGGAGCCGAAAAGCAGAGATTCGAGCATCTCAGATACAGCCAGGTCCCGGGGAAAACAAAAACTCCTGCTGTACCGAGTCTGTGGTCTGCACTGAGGTAATAGTGGCCAAGGGAGCTGAAAGTACAGTGAGTCTCGGTCGCTCCAAGGGAAGTGCAGTAAGAGCCCGAGCAGGCTTCTTCAGTACCGAGGCAGCAGAGGAAGAGCTCTTCTTGCCACCTCGATCTGCTGACAGTACTGATGATCTTTCCAAGCCTGAGGTTTTGCTGGTTTTTGGTCTAGCAGTACCCTCGATATCTGAGGAACCAGCAGCCTCATGGGTACTGGACTGGAGAGCAGATGGTGACTTCAGCTACTTCAGTACGGATGACAATGGGTTTTTTGAGGTAGATTCCTGACCTGGAGAACTCTGAGCATGTTCTTTGGAAGATTTATGAGAGGAGCCTTGGGTCTTCCTCTTAGATGCCCTCGAGGAGTGTGGCTCAGAGATAGTGGAGGCAGCAGACTTGCTCGGAGACCAATGTACCCAGAGGGATGGGGAGAGAGGACCCTTGGCCTGGGTCAAAAGCCGGGCACAGAGAGCTCTCCATCATGTGGAGAGGAAGTTTGATCTCCCTGTTATTTCTGGCTCTAGATTTTAATGCCAGGCAGAACCACGTGCAATTCCCCAAGACAACAGATGCACCAGGAGTGCCTGTTGGTTACCAGAACTGCTTCTTGGCATGACAGATCAACGTTTGAAACTGGGAGTACTGGGCATATGATAACCTCCCAGTGAACAAGAACTATCTACTAAGTAATATCTATATAATATATATGAAAATAAATACAGTAACTCCTCACTTAAAGTCATCTCAGTTAATGTTGTTTCGTTGTTACGTTGCTGATCAATCAGAGAACATGCTCATTTAAAGTTGTGCAATGCTTCCTTATAACGTTGTTTGGCAGCTGCCTGCTTTGTCCACTGCTTGCAGGAAGAGCAGCCCATTGCAGCTAGCTGGTGGGGGCTTGGAACCAGGGTGGACTGGCAGCCCCCCTATCAGCTCCCCACTCCCCTAAGTTCCCTGTGCGGCAGCCGCCCAGCAGGCTAGCAATTGCCAGCAGTTCAGCTGTCCCTCCCCCACTGCCATGTGCTGCTCTTGCCCTCTGCCTTGGAACTGCTCTCCGGAGCTTCCTGCTTGCTGTGCAGGGGAGGGAAGAGAGGAGCTAATGTCCGGGTGGCCCCCTCCCCCCTGCTGCTGCACCCCGCTTACCCCCATCTTCCAAAGAGCAGGGGGGACACACGACAGGGCTCAGGACGGAGGGAGCTTCTTGGCAGCAGTTGCCGTCTCAGCTTGCTGATCTACTTAACAAGGCAGTGTACTTAGAGTGGGGTCAGTGTACTTAAAGGGGCTATGCGCATCTCTCTCACACACACACATTGTGTCTCTGTCTGCCATGCTGTCTCCACTCCCTCCATTCGTGCTGCCTTGTAGAGTGTGAGGCTACATTAACAACGAGTTAACCCTGGAGGGCTCAGCCAATTGCTAGTTGATCATTTAGCAGTAAGGCATTCCCTGGGAAATATCCCACCCTCTGACTCCACCACCTCAACCAAGCTTCACAATCATCATTGCTGGGTACCAGTATTAAATTGTTTATTTAAAACTTATACGGTGTGTGTGTATATATATAATATAGACTTTTGTCTGGTGAAAAAAAATTCCCTGGAACCTAACCCCCCATTTACATTAATTCTTAAGGGGAAACTGGATTCGCTTAACATCATCTTGCTTAAAGTCGTATTTTTCAGGAACATAACTACAACGTTCAGTGAGGAGTTACTGTAAATAATTTTTTTTTAAACTAGGAAGCTAAAGCTACTACTACTTACTAACCAATTAATTACACTGATACTACGAACTGGAATAAAAACTGGGACGCAGTTGAGGTAACCTCAATGGGAACAACTGCCAGAGATCCATCTCGGGCTGAGGCAGTTGGAAAGCAACTGAGGGCAGTTCACCTGCGCAGGGCTATATAACAATGGAGCACGCACTAAGCTGACTACCACGCATGCACAGGCCGAACAGACAGGGCTATGAGAAATCTCTGGCAGGGTGCATAAGTGCGCCTAGAGTGGAGTACCCAGAGGGGCATTACTTGAAGAAGAATTAACTGTTGGGAGAAGATAGAACATGCAATTGCTTCAATAAATGCACATACATAAAATCACATTTTCTAATAAAATCTTTGTCTGTTAATAAAATACACACACGCTGGCCATTCTCTCCAATTCAATTTCTTTTCTCTACTGTACTTGTAACTGCCTGGTGCAAGCTGTTCTATTGCTTATTGAACTGTGGTTTCTAATTTGCTGAACTATTTCACCCCCTGCTGAGGTTATATTGATTGGTCAGTAACATTTCCAGAATATCCCTTTTTATGTTTCTAAGAAGATTGCTACTCTATCTGATCTTTTTCTAATCCTTTGCTTACAATATTTTGAAAAAGGAGACTAATGATTCTACCATTATCTCCCATTTGGGGTAAGTAGTGACTTGCTAGCAGTAATTTGAAGCTAGCTTATTTACAATTCCACTTTACCTGTAGCAACCTGACCCATACATGCAGGGTGCCCTGTTCTGCTTGGTTTGTTTAGAACTCTGTAGAGCATCTGTGCTTCTGGCTGAGTTAAATTCTTCAGCTTCAGGATCCTGATTTAAATCAAGCTCTTGAGTCTCAGCTAGGGGAACATGAGAGTGGGATGGCTTGTCCTGGTGAATCTGTTGGCTTGCAGAATGGATAACCTCATCGTTGTTTTCCCTTTTATTCATTTTATTTGTGTCAGTGGAGAGCTGGCTTTTTGCATCTAGCCTGTGTTCAGACCTCTTGCTGTGGAGCTGACAATCACTTTTCTCCACAGAACTTTCAATCTTTTGTGACAC